GGAGGGCTGGGGTTGTGGGCTCAGTGGCAGAGGGCTTGTCTAGCATATGTGAGGCACTGAGTTACATCCTTAGCACCGCATAAAAACAAATAAAATAAAGGCATGCTCTCCATCTACAAAAAAAAGAAGAAAGAAGGAAGGAAGGAAGGAAGGAAGGAAGGAAGGAAGGAGGGAGGGAGGGAGGGAGGGAGGGAGGGAGGGAGGGAGGAAAGAATCAGTAAAGCTATTAAAAAGAAAAACTACTGCTAGACTATTTCCAGTGTACAATACTGGAACAAGTTATACCAGAAGGAAATAATCAGATAAATAAATGAGATATTCTACAAGACAGTTGGCTTACAATCTTATGATAAACGATCAAAATGACAAAGGGAATATTTCAGAGTTAGAAATGAAAGATGTTAACCACTAAACATCATGTGTCAATTTTTATTAGATCTTGGATCATAAAAACAAAGACATTTTGCAAGTAATTAGGAATTTTGAATTTAGACTGAATGCCAGACATTATGAAGTTATTACAGATTTTTATGTTAATAGTATTGTTCAGTTAGAGAATAAGATGTATACTGAAATAGGGATAAAGTATGATATGTCTGCAACTTGTTCTCCAATGGTTCAGCAAAAATAAATGTTATGTTTATGTATGTATATAAATATATACGTATTATAGTGGAAAAATGTAAATAAGTGAAAAGCATTGAGGAATTCATCTTATTTCTTCAAACTTTTCTATACTTCCAAATATTTTAATAATAAAAGTAGGGGAATACTTTTAGTCCTGCATATCAGAAATAATATTTTAAGACATATAAAAATTTTTTTAGGGGGAGACTTGGGTTTGAGCACAGAGGAGTTTTACCACTGAGCTACATCCCCAGTTCTCTTTTCATTTTAAGACCGAGTCTAAGTTGCTTAGGGCCTTACTAAGTTGCTAAGGTTGGCCTCAAACTTGAGATCCTTCTATCTCAGCATCCTGAGTCATGAGATTTAAGAGACATAATTTATAACAGCATTCAAACATATGGAGCACTGAGGGATATACATAACAAAAGATATACAAGACCTCTGGTGATTGTAAAATTTTATTAAGATATTAAAAATTTTAAATAGAAATATATCATGTTGATGAATTAGAAGCCCTACTATAATGATATATATTCTCCTGAAAATGGCTTACGAATATTCATTGCAACCGCAATCAATGTTTCCATGTGTTTAGTTTGTTATTTTAGGGGTGGAAATGGATAAGTTTAAAATGTATATGGAAAAATCAAAGAACCAAGAAGAACCACAAGCTCTTAAAGAATAATAAGGTGAAAGGATTTGCTCTACTATATAACAAAACTTTTCTAAAGGATAGAGTACTGAAGACAGTGTATGTATTTTGACATAGGAAAAGACCAATATAATAAAACAAAAAGCCCAAAAATAAATTCAAGGGTAAACTGACACTGTACAAGAAAGCACATCAAAGTCACACAGACTTTTCAACAAACACTTTTCAATAAACAGTGCTGGCACAACAGACTGGACATATAAAGATGCCAAACAATTACCTCATATTGCATGCCAAAGACAGTTCCCAGGTAGATGAAACCTAAATGGAAGAGGCAAACTGTAAAGCATTTAGCAAAAAAAGTTACTATATTTTTGACCTAGAAAGAGAATATTTTTAAAAATAAGAAATGCAAAACAAGTTAACCATACAGAATAACATTGATATATTTGAACATATTCAAATTAAAATGTTAATGTATCAAAAAACATTGTGAAAACAAGCCACCAAGTGAGAAAATATTCTGTAACACAAACAACTCAAAGTAGTAACCAGAATATGTAAATTAATGAGAAAAATGGGTTAAAAGTATATTTTAACATATCTACCCAAGATGAAATTCAAATGGCCAATAAACATGAAAGATGTTTGGCCTCATTTGACATATGAAAATGCTAATCAAAAACAAGATACCATTATACATCTACTTTTTTTTTGGTAAAAATCAAAAAGCCATTATACCCTTGGGAACATGTAAATTACTACAAGAATCTTTGGAAAACAGTCTGACATGATCTAGTAAAATTAAAAATATAATAAGCCTGGTAACTCTGTGGTTCCACTCTTAAGCATCTTATCTTTTAAAGATGCATAGTCCAGAATACATGTTCACAATATCCATAGCAGCACTGTCTGTAATCCCCAAACTAGAAAAATCCAAATGTCCATCAAGAGTAAAATGAGAAATAAATATAGCTAAACAATGAAATAAACTATAGCTACACACAATGACATGAATCCTACAAACATAATATTTAGCAAAATAAATTTTAAAGGTTTACAATATAATTTGATTTATACAAATTTCAACTATAGGAATATATTGTTTAGGAATATACATGGGTGGTAAAAGTATAAAGAAAAGCAAAGAAATAAAGAGTATGGATGGTTTTAAAGTAGAGAGAAAGAGTTAGAGAGGGGCATATGGAAGAACTCCTATGGCTGGAAACATTCTGTTTCTTGACCTGGTTAATCATATGGAGTTCTTTTTACGATTGCTTAAAATATGCATATACATGTTTCTTTCTATATATTCCTTAACAAGAAAATATACAAATGACCAGTAAATATGAAAAGACATTCAATCCCACTAGTAATTAGGAAAACAAAAATTAAAACAACAAGGATCACACCTGCCACTGATTTTCCTAAGAATTAGGCATTCTCATACTCTGCTTATAGGAAAGTAAATTAGGGGCTGGGGTTGTAGCTCAGTGGTAGAGCGCTTGCCTAGCATGCATGAGGCACTGGGTTCGATTCTCAGCACCACATACACATAAATAAAATAAAGGTCCATCAACAACTAAAAAATATTTTTAAAAGAAAGTAAATTAATAAAAGCTTTTTGAAGAATAATGTGGTATTATGTACAAAAATATAAAAATTATCTTGGACTAGGAAATGTAGCATGTATGAGGCCCCGGGTTTGATCCCCAGTATCACAAAAACTCTCATTTGTCTTGTGAATTTTCCATTTCCATTCTGCATCCTAATGAAATAATAGCATATATCCTTAGTATATTCATACAAAGATGATTTCCATTCACTTCAGCATTGTTTGTGATAGTGAAGAAAATGAATAAGTATCAATAATGTAATATTTACCAAATTTTTCATAATTCATAAAATGAAACACTATGCAGCTGTTAACATACATTTTATGAACTGACATGGAAAGAGTTCAGATGTACTAATAAATAAAAGTATCAGAATAACATATACAACGTAATTCTGGTTTTAAAAATATAAATATGTACATATACTTATGTAAGTGTGGAAAACAGACTACAAATATATAATTTGTTAGCAATTATTAACTCTAGGGCAGGAAGTGGGGCAGGGTAAAGAGGGCACTTTCACCTCTTATTCTATACACACATATATGTAATTATACATCCATAGACTATTTGTATATTTTTAATGAGTAGTATAGCAAAACAATTGTATTTGTTCCATTCTAAAGACACTAATCTAATACACTGGAAAGAACTTTCTTTCAAAGCTAGTTGTTTTGTTCCTGGAAGGACTTGAGAAAGCTTATAGTTGCAGTCACAGGGCTGTCTGTTATCAACTGATGAATGTTGCATAGGATACTAAGTAACCTGGTCCATCTCCAGGCTCACCCCTTGAAAATATTTGCTTACATTCTCTTACTTACATTGCTTATGGGCAATAGCAATGTCTTCTCAAAACACTGTTAAGAGTAAATAAATTCTAAGGCTACACATCAAATTACATCCATAGCAAAGTATAGATGTAGCTATCAATATGTGTGTTTAGATCCAAATTAGTAATCACACCCTTGGTGAGTGACTTTTGGATGAAATAAGCTTTTATTGGACTGCTAAGTAAGGAGCTAGATACCACCAAATCACCACATTTAAAAAAAAAAAAAAAAAAAAAGAGCTTTTCTTTTTCTTGCCTCCCCTCATTCCACCCTATCCCTTTAGGAAACCAAATTGTCTATTTCCTATAAAGATGTGTAAGAGGGTAAACCTGACCATGAGTTGTTTAAAATCAGTAGTGAATGAGTACAAAAAGCACTATCAGTATATTTATGAAGGAAAATCCAACTACATTCATACATTTTGGTGTGCTTTTATTTTTTTATTGGAATCATACCATATGAAGGGAAATTGTCAAAGTGTCATTTACTCTTTCAAAAGCTTGATCTTTGCTCTGCTGTGTCAGAGGAAAGCAAACCTAAACAAGTAATGCTGGAAACCACCCTGTTTCCATATGCACACCGACAGGAGAAGAGCTGTCCCAGAAATGCTTGTTGATTAACAGAGGAAGATCACACACACATTAAATATAAATGGAAACACATGAGCACACCAAGTCATCAGCTTGATCCTCTGGCATCCACTAGCATGCGCCTTTCCAAAATATTACTTATTTGGTGATGGGTCTCATTATGCCTTTTATCAGCAAATACCTTCTTATTCCAGAACGGAAAACAAACTAGGAATTAAATACATCCAATATTGATGCTTTATTTCCATAAGTCACCAATAAGAGAATGAATTTAATTTTAATACATTGATTCTTATGTGATTCTTAATAAAACACTTTCAAAACATTCTGTACATTTCAAGCCACTCAGAACTGCATTACATTTCTATAAATGTGATTTGTTGGGATGAGGTGCCAAGATGTCTCTGTACAAAGATGTACAATATGTACAGTCACTGTAAGTACAAGCTGTGCAAAGCAGAGTCTAAAACACTAATTCATGCCAAGGCTTAGAAAACATGTCAACACATAAGACTAACGCTTATAACTGTATTGTGGTTTTTCCCTGGGCAGATGATTACTTTATAAACAAATATATGTATATATATATCATATAGAAAGAATAGTTTGATTTCCCAGCTCAGTCAGCACCATGCAGCTGACTGGATACACTACAGGGCTGCTCTCCTAGGCCTCTTTTTTCGGGTGCCATTTTGCCATTCTTGACAGTGTCTCATCACTGAGCTGTTACCACTGCTGCCTTTGGCTGAACCACTGCAACAGTAGGAGACTTAAATTTGGGGAGATAAAGGCCAAACTTGTTTTCAATTCCAGCAATAGTGGCTGTGGCAAGTCTGTATCCACCAATGTGATCAGGATTGGCAGGAGGAAGGTCTGCGATGCGGGACTTAGGTGTTGGTTCTGAGCCAGAAGGTTTGCTGTTGACAGGAAAAAGTCAATGGTTAGTGTGCTCAAGATTGATAAGGGTGGGGCTAAGGATATAGTTCAGTTGGTAGAGTGCCTGCCTCACATGCACAAGGCCCTGGGTTCAATCCCTGGTACCACAAAAAAAAAAAAAAAAAAAAAGATTGACAAGGGTGGCTAAAAGTGAACATTTTCAGTCTGACCCACATGCCAAGAAGTTTGTTTGTTTCAACCATTTCCATGTCATCTACCATTTCCATGTCATCTATGTTGCATTAGCCATGATTTATAGCACTTTGGAAGCTCTACATGCACATATTTGAAGAGAATGGTCTCAATTTCAATGCTTATATAAATATATAAATAGATGACAAAAAAAAAAAAAAAACAGAAGAAAATACACCCAAGTATTAAAACCCCAGAAAGTAGAATTATAGATTTTTTTCTCTTTTCTATTTTTTCATTTCCTAAATTTTTTTTCTACAGTAAGCATATGTGAAACTAATCATAAAAGCATACATTTTTCTTTATTTTGACATAGTTTAAAATAGTAGCTTAATAGTAGCTCATAAATGTCAAAAAGTTAATGAGAAACAGCCAGTTCTTTTTAAGATTCAGGCTTTTCTATGATTTCATAGAATCTTAATATTTGTATGATATAATTTGAAGGTTGTTATTCTTTTTTGTCTGGGTCCCTCCACTTCCTGGTTCATCAGCTAATTCCCTACTTAACCTCTGAGGAAGAGTCAGGTTCACAGTTTGCTATGAGCATTCAGAAACAGTATTTGGTCTTCTGTTGAAAAGCTGATAATTGCTTGCTTTTGGACAAAACTTCCCCACCCAGCAAATGTAGCAAGTAACTGGTCTTCTCCCCAGGGTAAGCTTCAAGTGTCCCAATTTTTTTGCCTATATCCTACCAATGATTACACCCACAGGCATAACCTCTTTTTGAACCTGCTAGGGGACAGGGGCAGGTTGACAATATATTAGCTCTAGGAAGACCTATAACTATCTAATAATAAATAATGGTGAATATGAAATTTTAGAGGTGCAAAAGGGCTTGGGTATTTGGCAGAAAATTCACAAAAGTGTTAAGAGTACACATTTATATCACTTCTGCTGGAAAGGCCATATAATACAATTCACATTGAAGGACCTAACTCCATAAAGTTCCAAACTTGCTTACACAAAAACAGACGATCATTCACAAAGCATTTTCATTTGCTGCCTCCCTAAACTTTCCCCAAATAGCTGATTATTATGTGCATTACATCATTCTGCCAAGGTCTTACCTCTTAACACTGAAGCTTTTTAAGCTGACTATTTAAAATGCATTGGTCTAGCTGGGTGCAGTGGCATGGCTTGGGAGGCTGAAGCAGGAGGACTACGAATTCAAAGCCAGCCTCAGCAAAAGTGAGGCACTAAGCAACTCAGTGAGACCCTGTCTCTAAATAAAATACAAAATAGGGCTAGGGATGTGGCTCAGTGGTTGAGTGCCCCCAAGTTCAATTCCTAACACTCAAAAATTAAAAAGTAAAAAAATAAAATGTGGGGCTGGTATTGTGGCTCAGTGGTAGAGCACTTGCCTCACATGCCTGAGGCCCTGGGTTTGATCCTAAAGACCACATACAAATAAATACATAAAATTAAAGATATTAAAAATAAATAAATAAAATGCATCGGTCTTAACAATTTCTTCCTTACTGGTTTTCTGAATTCCAAAATGTCTTTGTAAACAGAACAAACATTTGTTTTGGTTTTGGTGATTTCTTTGTAAAATAGTTGAGCAGCTGCACTTACAGGCCTCCAAAATCAATGTAAAACCACCGCTGAAGAAGTTCGTAGGTGACCAAAGTAACCCCAAACTGGGGAGACGATCGAAACACTCGAGCTGAAAAAGAGGAGTGGGGTAGGCTTAAAACCATAACATCTGTGGCAAAGACAACCACTGAGTAACAGGGGGCAAGGCACTAAAGCCAATTAGCTGTTCTACCTGCAGTCCCTTTCCAAAACGCTGAGGGCCCTTCTTCCCGAAGTATCTTTCTGAAACAGTCAATGACACCACTGTATGTTGTCTGGCCAGCACGGGCAGCCACTTGCAGTCTTGTCTTGATGACATCAGCAGGGGTCACCAGAGAAGCAGCAGGCACACCTTTCAGGAGAGACATATTTAACTCATGCATAAAAGGACAGAAATACTGCTGACATCTAAACCATACAATCTGCAACTTTAACCATGTATGGGGAACTCAAAGCTCCTTAAGTAGATGTCTAGGCACTAATAGAAAAAGGGACGTCTAGGAACCTATTAGCTGCTACTGTATAATCTAGGAAAAATACTTTTTCTTTCTGAATGAAGAAAATCATTGTACATTGCATGATCCTAAAGAACTGTGAAAAGAAAAAAATGCAACAATAGTAACAGGATGATTCCCAAGTGTTCCCTTTCAGTTTCAATTATTTTATCTCCTTTTTCCTCAAATGTGATCATTTTATGTACAAAATATAAGGATAATGTCAATTTAACGAGCTGCTGAATGTATCTGACACCCAACTGTGGTGTTTTTTGCTGAATCTTGTCAACTGTACTGTATGAGGTAAATTGCGATACTAATAAGCACTGACTCACCTATTGGAGGGTGAGCTAACTTGAGAGTCTCCAGCTAACTTGAGAGTTGAATAACTCTTTTCAGACAGACTTACATGACAGGAATTATTACAACTGGAGCAAAAGGAGGCCAGGTGACCAGTTAAGGAACAACAGGGGAGCTGATCATCAAAAGGCTTTTTATCTATCTCCTATGCCTGAGCTCCCTGGAGTCATACTGAGATTGATCAGCAGCAGGACACACAAGACGGATTTCACAACCACACTTTTTACTTATAAAACAAAACAGGACACAGGAGCTATATAACGTTCCCCAAGGGGAAGAAATCAAATTTGGCCTAAATATTACTATATCATCACTAGGCAGATGGAATGGGTGGCCTTGTGGGGGCTCAATTAAGGAACGATGCAAATACCTCCACACAGGTGCACCCTATTCACATGAAACTAGGTAAACTGCCTCCTTTAGGAGACAGGATTCCAAATGTTCTCAGTGCCCGCCAGCAAAGCTTTATTGGTAAAAATTAGAAAAAATCATATCTCATTCTGAAAACACTTCAAATGTCTATGGGCAAGAAGATGGTGCTGACTTGGAATATGTTTACTTAGTTCAATCAACCACTGGTAAATTCCTGTCCATGATCAGAATGTTCTCTGCCTGTTTTTTCCTGCTGATTGGAAAGTACAAGGAAAAACTTAGAGGGAAAATGCTGGCCCCCATTTAAGAAGGGGAGATTGGCGCATATAAGAAAGGAACCCGATGAACACTTCAGTGCCAAGACTGAGCTAACTTTTAACGTTCAACTAACCAAAATTACTAATGGCAAAGGAAAGGGATTTGCTGAACCCAAAATTACGGCTCAAAACTCCCAGAGGGAGTTTCTAAATCATCATAAGCTATCCTCTGCCATTATAGGCAAGAATAACAACATGTCCAGCTCCACACTCTCAGAACACACTGGGCACACCATAATTCTGGACATGCTCAGGCTATCCTGCTTTATAGCCAAAGCCACCAGAAAAGAATAAACCCGGCACCTGAGAACCAAACAGGGTACCTGAGCCCAGCTGGTCAGAGCCACATGGAGCTCTATAATGGCTTATTGCTGGCTATATGGAAAATAAATACATGACCTTTCCTTCCTCTGTCATTTCTTGAGTGTTGGTACAGCCAAGGATGCCTGGTTCTCCCTTCTGTTCCAAGTTAGCTCCTTCCTAACTCAAGAGTAAGGCTAGCCAGGCACAGTGATGCACACCTGTAATACCAGTGGCTCAGGAGGCTGACACAAGAGAATATCAAGTTCAAAGCCAGCCTCAGCAATTTAGCAGGGCTCTGTCTCAAAACAAAAAATAAAAAGGAATGGGGATATAGCTTATTAGTTAAATACTGTTGGGTTCAATCACCTGTACAAAAAAAAAAAGTAAGGCTGTACCTGTGAGATCAGAAGAAAAGGTCTTAGACTCTTCTTTCAAATGGAATCTCTTCTGTGCCTACTTTGGTATTTTATACTAGATGAAAATTTTCATTCATTCCACTGACACTTATTGAGCTCCTATTATTATTACTATGTTGGCTATATAGAAGGCAAAGATGAACAGAATGAAAACTCCTATCCTGAAGCAGCACTTAGCCTAGTACAGATTATAAAACACAGAAACAACTATGAACAAAAGAAAAATCCCAGCAACTGAGGAAGCACAGGCAGGAAGATCCCAAGTTCAAAGGCAGCCTCAGCAATTTTGCAAGGCCCTAAGCAACTTAGTGAAACCCTATTTCAAAATAAAACATAAGAAAGGGCTGGAAATGTGGCTCAGTGGTTAAGTGCCCCTGGGTTCAATCCCTGGTACAAAAAAAGAAAAGACAAGAGACAAAAAGTTAAGGATCTTGATGAAAATCAATGTCAGGAAGAATAGGGACAGCTTCACAAAGAGAACTCAATTTTAGGCCAAATCACATAAACTCCAATATATAGTGCTAGGAAGTAAGGGCATGCAAGACCTGTGCATCAGCATGGGGTGTAACAAAGCAGCTGATTTGATGAGAACTTTTCCATCTTAATGCTTAGCTTGGTGGCACCCAAGGTTTCAGGGGAGAGGGAGACTAAGAAACATGTTAATGATGAAAGCCCAATTTAGATGGGCAGATCTAATTTGGCTCCAAGTTGCTAAGCTGCATTAAGCTGTTTATCCACATTATGCAAATGTAATTAACTCTCATCAGAATTACAGCACATCCCACAAAGGAGAAAAGGCAATCATATTTAACTAAGTCAGATACAAACAATAACTTTTCTAAAAAGAAAGGGGGAAAGTACATAGAGATTCTGTACTTCTCAAAGACAATGGGAGGAGAATTCTTTGGGTTAAAATATTCTGTAGTTACCTGCCATGGCTCCAGCTGCAAGGAGATTTAAACCTTTCACGTGTCCATTTTCATCAGCCAGAAGTAGTTTGCAATGAGCATAAACAGGAAAATAGATTGCAGAGAAGGGAATGTCTCGGAGGAAACACGCTTTGGCACCCTGTCACAGAGTCAGGAAATAGTACAAAACAGTGTGTAAACAGGGTGTGAATGCTCAAATGGGATGCAGAGGGCTTTCAGCCTGAGGTGTCCCTCAAACAGTATTAGAACTGATGTGGAAGGGAAATGGGGGTGGGAGAGATGAATGTAAGCACAGAACTTAATGGAGTAGACTTAATAACTGGGCAATGATAGTATTCTCACAAATTTAATAACTTAATAACTGGGCAATGATAGTATTCTCACAAACAAGAATTTTCTGGTATTTCTAATTTAGATTCAGATTTTTTTTAATCCATCAATTTGATTTTTGTTGTGGTAAAAATACACAGGATGAGATCTACCCTCTTAAATTTATGAGCATATAGTACAATATTAATTACAAGCATAGGGCTCTAGAAATCTTTATAACTTATTAATGTTGGCATAACTGAAAAGTTATATCATTTAATTACATTCAATTTTTTGAGATTCATAAAAATTTAATTCTCAAACCTCCAGGTTGCTTGTTTTATTTGGCTTTGGAAGGGGAAGAAAGTTGAGGGCAGAGTTGTAGGGGAGGGTTTAGACTTTAAATTCCAAGATTACTAGCTTAATTCCTAAATAATTAGCAAAGATAGCCCAAAAAGACTATCAAATTATCAATTTGATCTCTATCAGTTTAAGAGTTCTTTCCATGCAAGGTAAAAGGCTACATAGGCAGGGGTAAGAGTAACTATTCTAAGGAATTTTTCCCACTTTATTATCAATGTGCTAACTAGAAGTGGACTAGGGGAAACCCAGACAAATATTTTAGCAGGAGGTTTCCATGAGAGTAGAAAAAGTGATAGCTTGTCCCAGTGACTAAGGTCACAATGACCACCTTTCTCAACTTTGTCCACAGCAATCCAGCACTTGCTCCTAAGGAAAAGGCAAGCAAAAAAAAAAAAAAAAAAAAAAAAAATTCAAGGACTCTAAAGGATAATACACAGAGAAAAAATATTCATAAATTCAGCTCTGAAAGGGAATTCTAAAAAGGATGGAAATTAGAGGTGGACAGGGAGGAGCAAAGTGTGCAAAAACTCTCTCAAGATAAGCATCATTGTTTGCTGGTCTCCAGAGAACCCTGTAGCTGTGTGATTCTAATCTAGAGAATGTCTAATTTCTAATTTTCAGCTACTGAAGCAAATTTACACATTCCTACAATGATGGATCTATAAATAAATCGGATGCTGTGGAAACACAATTGCCTAGAGTGGCTAAATTTATGTATTCCCCCTTATACGAGGCAAAGGAATGGAAAGAAATACTCTTCCTTGTTTAAGAAAAATAATAGCTTCTGCTCCATTACATCTGATCTGTAATGATGGGAGTAAGTATACCTGCAGGGAAGGATCTGTTGACTGGCATTTTGCTAAAGTATAGTACACTTTTTTTTTTTTTTAAATGGAATTCATTATTGACAAATCCTACCACTTAACTTCTTAAAGATCTGAATCCTACCAAACTCTACTACTGTTTGACTGTGGTCAAATTATTAAGACAAAGAGAAGCTCCTATTGGGAGGATAACAATAGAGATAACTCAGATTCAAAATAAAGACTATTTTGAAGTTCTAAACCCCCAGCAAAGAGAATACCAAAGAAACTTCCCAAGCCCCCATGGAATTAAAGGCTGAGAGCCTGAAGCCAGCAGGTCTGCAGTGCAGGCCTCCCTGCCAGAGGCTTCACAAAAGCTGCAGATGACAACAGGAGAATGTGCTTGTGTATCCCACTGCCTTTAATAGCAGCGTCCTGATTTTTTCTTTTTGTTTGATTTTCTACTCCATGGACAACCCTGCTGGACAAGATTGCTTTTCAAACTAGTGGGGACGAAGTCTGGTTTTCACATTCTTTCACTCTTATACTGAGTACATTACAACTTCTTTGCTGAGCTAGCCCAAGGGAATCAACCCACCTTATACAGACCAAAAAGTCCCAAGTCCCGTAGCACATTCAGGGCACTGACTCTGGGTCCTGTGGTGATCTCTCCGGCCACCTGCAGGCGAATCTTCACTATCTCCAGTGGGTTTGTAAAGATGACCTGAGAACCCCCAGCCTGCAGGCAAAGGAGAAGAGACAGAGGCAATTCCACATCAGAGCCAGAGTGTCGATGTAAATAAGAAAAAACTAGGAAACTTCCATTTCTCCTTCTCTCCCTTCCTCCCTCCCCGCCACCTCTCTCTCACACACACACCTTTACACCTCCTTCTTATTCATTGGAGAAGGATGCTTTAGCTGAGGCTTTATCTAATGCTCTGAGAGATGGTCCCTGTCACAGGCCAACCTATGTCTGGGTTTGTTTCTATTTAAAATGTCAAGATTGTTCCTCAGACCAATCTTAACCAAGATAAACCCAGCCATATTAAAAATAGCAAAACTAATAAGCCTAGTTTGGAAAACAAATGTGAAGGCAGATGTGGCAGTAGGGTACCTCCCCAGTGAAAGGGGAAAATATGACAAAAGACTGGTATCTTTTATATACTGGAGCTATAACCCAGATCTATAATGTTTCTTAGAAAGCATTCCCTTAGCCTAGCCACTTGCTTCTACTTCCTTGGATTGTAGAACAATTAACAACACTTTGGCCCCTCAGAAGTATCTCAAGTTAGAGAGAGAGAAGGCTCCGATTCAAATTCTAAAATAGATGAGCCTGAGAGAACTCTAAGACAGATACACAGATAGCTAGCTATCCCACACAAAAGGAGGAAATTTAGAAAGATAAATTTCGGTATCATTTCAGACAAAACCAGAAAAACTCTTGTATGAAGAGCTAAGAAATGGAACATCTATCTAGTTACCATGAGTACAACACCCTCAGATCAAAGCCACATTCCATACTCTTAGTGGTGAGTGATAAAAGATTTGAATTTGGATAATCATAGCGTATTTGCATCTGAAATTTGTTAACTAGTAAAGAAAACAAAGAATGTTTAAAATAAATACTACCAACTCCTTTTTGACATCTGTAAGAAAGAAAAGATGTGTAGCTATGGATATATAAAAATAAATAAAATATATATTATCTCTTTCCATGAAGTAAAAAAATCCAATTTATACACTGTCATCTTAAACTGTGGTTGTTTACATTATATATATAATCATAACTCTATCATACAATATTCATAATCATATTCATATAATCATTAAGTAATCATAACAACTGCAATGCATGTACCATGTGAAATATGAAATGTGTGCCTCATTGGGAGCACCGTGATTCCATGGGTATCAAAATGCTACAAACAATACCCAAAAAACTGCACAGGCAACCTCAATAGCATATCCATGCTTTAACTTCACAACAATAGTCCTGCTCATTTATGTAAAACCCACAACCCTTTCCAAAGAGCAGCAATGTTGTGTTGCTTGGCGCATTTTCCAAACCACTCTGGGGCTACAAAACCCCACAGTTACACAAGTTCCAACTTTGACCATTTCCTCTTGTCATAATCCACAACTGCCAACACTGACACTAGATCCTTTCCTCTTTCCTGGATTCCCCAGGGCCTAAATCCCTCTTTTGTCTACCAAATAAGGAATGCAGCCATTTGAGGGCACACTTGCACACACTCTCAATAGGAACACTGTTTCCTGTAACTCCCGACTCAAAGCAATTCAGACCACTGGCACACAGGTTCCCCCAACAATGTACTGACCCAGTTTTATATGTTGATATGCCTGCATTTCTCTCTTTTAATCTGTTGCACTGCAGGCAGAAGGGAGCATATCAATGTTTGAATCTAAGCAAACAATACTTTCAAAAGGATTGCTGAGGGAAAAATTATGTTAAAATGATAATCCAAGTAATTACTCCTGTAGCTAGTATTAAAGACCAAACCAATTGGAAAAGTTTACTACTTCCCTGATATCTTTTGTTTAAATAATTGTTGCAAAGACTATCTTTGGGAAATGTGTTTTATATTCCAAGCAGATTTTTTTTAAAAAAAGAAGAATAGAACAGGACTACAAATTTTAATCATAATCCCCCAAATTTGCTACCATCAGACAGTGTCAGCCCTAGGTGCTAAGTGTTATATGTGAACATTTTGTTTAAATAAATACAAAGTTCTTTCATGCTTTTAATTATTAGTAAATTATAATATCCGGCAGAGCAGGAGAAGTACAATCTGCATTCCCCAACTCCAAGTTCCCTCTCATCCCACCTCCCTTCTACCACGGCCACTTTTGGAAAAAAATGCCAGTTTATTAAGATTTGTTCTTCTTTAACAATTCTTCATATTTCTTTCCATCTGTACAAATAACAAACTATCTACTAAAATTCTACTAAAACAGTACAATAGAGAGGAGGTGACAACATTTTCAAATACATTCCCCTTAATTGTTATATGTTTTAAAAGTTAGTTACCTTACAGTAAGATACAAAAATGCATTGGACATGAACACAAAACTAAACTGATATGCATTTATAAACATACCTAACCTGGCAAGGGAACATACAAACAATGAAACAATGATACATTATAGCAAGGCATACGACTATAGTTTATTTCTTACCTACTTATTCTACTGTACTAGAAAGAGCAAAACTTCCAGCAATTATGTAGTTTGTATATATTTAAAAACCAGTAAACATTTTTAAAAAACCTTATGATAAGCCTAGAAACATGTAAGTAAATACTATCCAGGAACACTGAATAAATTTAGACTAAATAAATAAATAATAGTTTAGACTGACGACTGCTATATGTCTAAAACTTTGGATGTTTGTATCATTTAAAGGGCAAATATGCACTGTCCTTTTAAAAACTTTGATGTTGACCACTATCTTAAACATATTAAACTGGAGATAGGGGGAGGGGCAATAAAATCTGAATTAGTTTATTATACTGGTAAGTAACTAAGCAACATAAAGATTATGATGTTATCATACGCTTCAACTGAATCTTCTCCCTCTGAGAAACAAATACATTTCCTCTATTCTAAAACTCTGCTAATTTTAAGTGATAGCATTAAGAGAATAACAACTTTTCAAAGGAAAAAAGCACTGCTTACAAATTATACATTTAATGTATAGAATTTCATGAACATTGTAAATTTTCAATGAAAAAAATAGTACATGTATTTATACAAATATGATGTTTGCTAATATTTTGTTTTGTTGTGCTGGGAATTGAACTCAGGGGCACTGTACCACTGAGCTATATTCCAGACATCTTTATTTTGAGACTGTCTCATGAAGTTGTCCAGGCTGGTCTGAAGCTTGCAATTTCCTGCCTCAATTTCCCAAATAGCTGGGATAACAGTTATGCACCACCATGCCAATTTGTTTGCAATTTTATTATGTAAGTGCATATGTATTTATTTTGTGTGTGTGTGTGTGTGTGTGAGGGGGTAGGGGGTATAGGAGGATGGGTGCTCACGGATGATAGGCAAGTGCTCTACCACTGAGCCACAAACCCAGTTTGTTTGCTGATTTTAATAAGAACAAAATTGAACTGAAAAAATTCAAATGCTCAATAGAAAACAGTTAAATAGAAGCAAATTATATACTTTTAATAAAGCAATGCAAGTTGCCATTAAATCATGACAAATTACATAAACAGAATGAAAAATATTAGCTACATATTTGATCACAAATATGTCAAAATATTTTACTTAAGTTTACCAAAATCAAAGTGAGTTAAAGATTAAAACATTAGTTGTATATTAGAAAGAGAAACTGAAGAACTGGAAGAAAAAAATTTAATAGCATACCTTGTTGCACTTTTTAAATTCTCGAATAATATGAATGTATAAACTACTCAAAAATGACAACAGAGAGAACCAGTCTTGGGTTTCTTTACAGACTAAGTCCTCCTTCATACATTCCTCCTCACAGCAAATTTGATAATTTTTATAGTTTAAATCTATTTTTTAGCTGGTTGACATTAGTCATCTGTGGATTCAAACTTTAAAAAGCATACACACACAAACACACACTAAAAAAAAACTAACCAAATATAGCTAATTATTGGAAATAATAGACATCAAGATACATAAAATTTAGCCAGGCATGGTGGCACATAGCTGTAATGCCAGCTACTTGGGAAGCTAAGACAGGAGAATCACAAATATAAGGCCAGCCTGTACAATTTAGTGAGATTCTGTTTCAAAATTTTTTAAATGTAAAAAAGTAATGGGAGTCAGGGCTACTGGGAATGTAGCTTAGTGGTAAAGATCTTCTTGCCTGTTAGGCCTTAGGCCCTGGTTCCAATTCCCAGCACAGCAAAACAAAAAACAAACAAAGATGTATATTGTGTATATTGTGGGTGGTTTATAATAAACCATTCACAATACACAACTATATAGATTTAAATGGACATTGCCAGATTTGACATCTTGCTGCTTCTGATGATTTACATTACATAACATGCCATATCTTTGGTGAATTTTTTCACTCACCTCATCACCAAATTCAGCTTCTAACCCTGTAATCCGTAAATTTTCCTCAGCAAATCTGCTGCTTAGGGGGCTGGGAGCACAGCTTACTAGAGGAATGTTTGAGTAGCATGCATAAGGCCCTGGGTTTCATCCCTGACGYGGGGGCAGAAGAGGTGGGTATAGATCTGCTACTTATTTTTCTTAAAGAAATGGAAACACTAATATTGAAACATACTTAGACACTTTTATTTTTCAGTACTGTCATTTTGTTGTAGTTGTTCTAAAACTGAATTGAAAAGACAAAGGGGAATAAATCCCATTTAGAATAAGGGTCACCATTATGTGACAAAAATGGAAAGAATGTACATTTAATCTTATGTCACACCATTTTTTAATGAGAAAATAAACCAACTAAAGTTAGCAGGAAAAGTTAGTGGGGAAAGGATGTGATATTAAAGTGTCACTGGCCTCCAATGTGCCCAAGGCTGAGGCTGTTCAACCTGAGGATTTGGCCAGTTCAACCTTCTGCCCTCACAATCCTACCCCAGGGGCAGGGTCCACAAAGAGTATAGACTGGGCCCTGTTTATCCAAGTCCCTTGCTTCTGGCTTTCTTTGATCTCTTGTCTCTATAGTTTAGAACCCTTTCCCTCCAACCACAAAATATCTTATCATGG